AGTGAGTTGAAGATAATGGTGATGGAATAATTTGGAAAAGGATAGTGAGAATAGCAGCACAACTTGAAGAATGTAATCGATGTCACTGAATTGTACATGTAGAAACTTTTTAAATGGTGTAATTTTGGCTACGTATATTTTCACCAAAAAAACAAAAGGCCCTCCAAGGTTGAGTGTTGACATGTCGTGGGGTTGTTAACCAATGTCACAGTATAGGGAGAACAATTAGGGTCACATAACAATGTATGTATAAATTTTTGTATGAGAGACTAACTTGAAATGTAAACTTCACTTAAACTACAACAATAAACAAAAAAAAAGAATACCTACCAAAGTCATGATGATGATGATGACTTGTTTTTATGATTCATAAGATTAAAATTCAATTAAAATGACTACAGAATTAATTAATGTTTGTCATCTATCTTCTCAAGTAATAGATAAATGCATAACTAGTAAGGTTTTTTTTTTTTAATGACTTAACATTAAAAATTAACTCTTGTCCTTGAAAAACCGCTATCATATCCCATACAGTCTAAGGGAATTTTAGAACTTTGTATTTTAGAGATGGAAGAATTGCAGCATTGATGGGGTAAATGATTTGCCCACCATCACACCACTGATTGTAGCTCAGTCAGGGATTATTTCAGGTTCACCAGTTCCCTGCATCTATAATCTTTCCCCTACACCATGCTGCATTAAAAAAAACTGTGAGGAAGTAAGAATTTGTAATGATGCACGCTTTACTCAGCAACTTAAACAAGAGACGGAGAATCATTACTCATTAAATACTTCCTGTTTAAGCTGCTTCAAGTGCCCTTCTGTTAATTTTGGAACTCCAGCTAAAACCTAAGGGTGTTGTTATTCATACTACCTCATTTCTCTGAAGAAGCTCTTCAACATCCTTCTCTGTGAGAATTTTGGTTATGAAATGTGTCTACCTTGCCCCTCTAAGAGTACCATGGCTGGTTTTACTCACGGATATTTTCTCTGCAACATAGTTTCCCCTGTTCTCCAGCTTGTCTTCACTAGCATAAAAAGTGAAGGTCTGCATGACATTCGATCCAGCTCTGAGGAACTCTCGATGAAGCTGGCGGACTGGGAGATTGAATGAGGAAATGCATGAGTTTCTACCAGTTTATTAACTCACAGTGTTTTCAAAAGGCTCACAGATAAACAAACATGAAAATAACTGCTTAAATGTATGGTTGTTTGGCATTGACACATTCTGGGGGTTAATGTGAGGTAGATCTGGGGCCTCTCAGCAACTCCCCCAAACTTGCTATGCTTGAGTGGATGGGTGGTCAGAAAGGGTGCTCATGTTCTTCTATTTGCTCATTGTTTATTGACTGTATTTATGGAGGGCACTCGTGGATACAAAGACTAACAATCCATTGTCCTATCCTTGGAGACATTCACAATCCATCAAAGGATAACTGACTACAACACGGCATGGTTGGGCTATGCAGGAAGAAGAGATTATTTCTACCATGGTTGTGAGGTGAAGGGAAGAGGGAGGTCCCACAGAGGAGGAATCATTTGAGTTGCACTTTGAAGAATTCAATGTTTGCTAGGCAGAGAAGTGCGGGAAGGGCATCCCCTGCAGAGGGAACCACCTGATCAAAGACATGTAGGCAGGGGCATGCTTGGTATTTGGGGGAATGACAAATAGTCTGAGAGGCTGGAGTTGAGGTCATGTTAAAGTGGTGGGAAATGAAGTTGGAAAGGTAATTTGCAGGGAACCTCTTGAGGGTCTATAGTAATTCTACCTACCACCTAGTCTAAATTGGAAAAGCAAACAAATCATTTGCGTAAAATATCGTGAAAACTGACCACTCCTCTCATTCAGAGCATGAATGCCTTAAATATCTTTCACCTCAAGAAGAAGGCTAAAACTTGGTTCTAGATTAAACAAAAACTAGGCAGTGAAATGGTATTCCTTTCCAGGCAAGTACGTGTTTATTCAGGTAGAGATCACAAAACAGATAAACAACTCCTAAGCCCATAAAAGAAAATGTTCGTAGAAAAGAAATCCTCACAACTTTTTCTGGTAAGAAAATTAAGAATTAGTAGCGTCTGGGGTCTTAAAAGCCTGTGAGCATCCATCTAAGATACTCCACTGGTCTCACCCCTTTGGCAAGGGAGAATGAAGAGAATAGGATACAAGAAAAAGATTAGTCCAAAGGACTAATGGACCACAGCTACCAAGGCCTCCACCAGACTGAGTCCACTACAGCTAGATGGTGCCCAGCTACCGCCACTGACTGCTCTGACCAGGATCACAACAGAGGGTCCTGGACAGAGCTGGAAAAGGATACAGAACAAAATTCTAACTCACAAAAAAAGACCAGATTTACTGGCCTGACAGACTAGAGAAACACTGAGAGTATGACCCCCGGATACCCTTTTAGCTCAGTGGTGAAGTCATTCCTGAGGTTCACTGTTCAGTTGGGATTGGACATCCCCATAAAACAAAATGGGACTAATGAGGCACAGCAGTCCAGAGACAAGGACTACAAGGCAGGAGAGGACAAGAAAGCTGGTGATAGGGAACACAAGGTTGAGAACGGAGTGTTAACATGTCGTGGGGTTGTTAACCATTGTCATAGGGCAATATGTGTACTAACTGTTTAATGAGAAACTATTCTGTAAACCTTCATCTAAGGTACAAAAAAAAAAAAATTATGTGAGATCAAATTGGCAACGGCAACTCAAAAGGTTTGATGGGAAGCCTAGGGGGCAGTGAGTTGAAGATAATGGTGATGGAATAATTTGGAAAAGGATAGTGAGAACAGCAGCACAACTTGAAGAATGTAATCGATGTCACTGAATTGTACATGTAGAAACTTTTTAAATGGTGTAATTTTGGCTACATATATTTTCACCAAAAAAACACAAAAGGCCCTCCAAGGTTGAGTGTTGACATGTCGTGGGGTTGTTAACCAATGTCATAAAACAATATATGTACTGACTGTTTAATGAGAAGCTATTTATTCTGTAAACCTTCATCTGAAGTACAATTAAAAAAAAAAAGAAAAAGGCTAAGTATAGCCACTGTCCTGTGAGGATGATGCTGTGAGGATTCATTACAGGATATTTGCCTTTTCTGATGTATCCAGTAGTCCACTGTGGTTGACAGAATTTGGACTAGGCTGGCATAGTCAGCTATATGGGATTTCAGTCTGCAGCAGAATGAATTAAATCTAATAACTCAGTATCATGGAGTTTTCATTAATTCTTGAAAAGCATGGAACTTCCAGAAGAAAAAGTAGAGTTTAATATGCCTAAGTAAGTTCAAAATACTCAAGACACAGATGGCCAAGTATCATGGATTGAATTGTGTCCCCCAAAAATATGTGTATCAGTTTGGCTGGGCCATGATTCCCAGTATTGTGTGATTGTCCACCATTTGGTCATCTGATGTGATTTTCCTATGTGTTGTAAATCCTTTGTCTATGATGTTAATGAGAAGGGATTGGTGGCAGTTATGTTAATGAGGATTCAATCTACAAGATTATATTGTCTCTTAAGCCAATATCTTTTGAGATATAAAAGAAAGAAGTGAGCAGAGAGACATGGGGACCTCATACCACCAAGAAAGAAGCACTGGGAGCACAGCACATCCTTTGGACCTGGGGTCCCTGTGCTGAGTAACTCCTCGACCAGGGAAGATTGATGACAAGGACCTCCCCGCAGAGCCAATGAGAAGAGAAAGCCTTCCCCTGGAACGGATGCCCTGAGTTTGGACTTGTAGCCTACTGAGCTGTGAGAGAATTTCTCTTTGTTGAAGCCATCCTTTGTGGTATTTCTGTTATAGCAGCAATAGATAACTAAGACATCAAGAGATAAAATATGCTGTTTCTGCATTAGTAAAATAGAAGATGATCAATATCACAGTGGTTTCTCTTGAGCTCCTCTAATGTGTAACTTTATGTCATTTACAAAATTGAGAGTTATGGTTTAAATAACAGTCTTACTTTCTCTACTTGGCAGAGTCCGGGCAAAGTTGTTGTTATTGTAAGGTGCTGTTGAGTCGGTTCCGACTCATAGCAACCCTATGTACAACCGAACAAAACACTGCCCAGTCTCGTGCCATCTCCACAGTCGTTGCTGTGTTTGAGCTGATTGTTGCAGCCACTATGTCAATCCATCTCATCGAGGGTCTTCCTTTTTCACTGACCCTCTACTTTACCAAGCATGATGTCCTTCTCCAGGGACTGGTCCCTCCTGATAAGATGTCCAAAGGATGTAAAACAAAGTCTTGCCATCCTTGTTTCTAAGGAGCATTCTGGTTATACTTCTTACAAGACAGATTTGTTTGTTTGTTCTTCTGGCAGTCCATGGTATATTCAACACCATAATTCAAAGACATCAATTCTTCTTCAGTCTTCCTTATTCATTGTCCATCTTTTGCATGCATATGAGGCAAAGGTAGTACACAGTTAATATCAGTTTGGCCCAATAAATATTTTATTCTGAGGTTAACAGCAAGCAGACCTTAAAAAGCAAACTGTAGGTATATTTGAAACCTTCCCTCTATGATCTTCCTTGATTATTTCACTGTGTCTCTTAAAACTCTTTGATGCATTGCTTCTCCAAGTGTGATTTATTTTACAATGACCTGGGGGACAATTATAAATGTAGATTCCTCACAGACTCAGTGAATCCAAATCTCTGGAAATTGGACCTAGGAATCTATACTTTTAGTAAACTCTGTTGGTGAAACTGATATTTGCAAAGCATGGTTGTTTTAGCTTCTCAAGGGCCTAGTTCATCTTGTTTTAGGGTACAACACAAAATTATTTTTACTTTTATTTGAAATATAATTGTTGTGTACATTTGCTGGGTTTCACAGTTCTTTTGCTTTGAATACCAGGTAGGGATTGTGTGATCTGAGTCCTGAATACATTTCTGTACTACTCTAGGAGAAATAGAGTGATACAACCAAGAATATTAAGAGAAGAAACAACTTAGCCAACTTAATAATAGCAGTAGTTAATACATAGTCTTTTAACATGTGCCAGGCACTAGTTTAAACACTTTACATATAACTAATTTAATCCTCATAATAACCTTATGAAGTAGATGTTAATATTTTCTCAGTTTTATGGAACAGGAAACTTGAGGCCCAGAGAAGCTAAGTAATTTTCCCTAGGTCACACAGCCTACTAGCTGACAGGATTTGATGGAGGTAGTCTGGCTCCAGCTTCTATATGCTTTACCTCAAAACTTTACTATCTCTCAACCTATGTAAGTGCTTTGTTAGTTACCATCCTTTATCACTGAGTTCACTAAAATATACCTTTCTTTAATAAACATAAAACAACTGTTCATCTTGTATAGTATTTACCATAACATCCTCTAATTTCATCTGAAAGACTCAAATTCTTCCTTAAAGGTGTTTTAGACAATAACCTGAGGCACCTCACTTCCACTATCTTGTTGTATCTCAGGCACATCTGCTTATATTCCCTTCATCTATCAATCAGAGGAGGACCCTCTCAAACAAAGCATCAGCGTAGAATGGCCACGAGCCTGTCATCAGTGACTGAGGGGCAGTGACCAGGAGGTAGATAGTTACCAGCAACAAGGAGGGCTGTTGTGCTTATCCAAAATGTTTATCTATACTTATATGCCTAGCACAGTGCCTAGCAGGAAATAATAAATATTTGGAAAATGTAGCATGAATGTATCAGTTTGATAGTATGCTTGCTCTTGGACTTGGGTCAACATAGTTGAGCTTTTATGAGAACTTAGAATAGAGCTGCGTACCAACCTGCTTCTGGGTATTCTACAGCAGCTTCCGGGGTCCAGGGTCCTGCCTTCACATAACCTCTCTTCTCCAGAGCGAAGACAAACCCTCCATCTCCAATCACAACCTCTCCGGCATTTAAACGTTCTAGAATGCCCTAAAATTACAGATGGGGCACGGGAACAAGTTACTTGAGTTTGTAAGACAATTTTCTATTTTTAATACTTTTGCTAGCATATTCTTGAGAAGTATGATTTCTTTAAAATTCTAAGAACAAAATACATGCATAATACTTTATACATAAATTCTCAGCTGTCTATAAGGCAAACCACCAGAATGCTCATATAATGAAAATTTGTGTGTAGGGGTAGGGGCTGTTGCTTTCAAACATATTAAAGAATGTTTGAAAAATATTGTGGGAGGATGTTATGTTTGAAGACATATCTGCTGAGGGATTAAATTAAAAGGTTTGTTGTGAAGCCTCAAATGAATATGTAAGTACGCATTCTTATAATGGTGAATGCTAGTCTTTGTTCACACTCTTATCAATAAACTAAAGAGAAGATTAAAACTAATAAAGAAGTTGAAGTGGCATATTAGGGTTATTAGGGCGTTTTGAAGACTGAAAAGTCCGAAGACATTTGGAAAAGACAGAAGAAGATACCACTGCAAAGGTGGACAACTCAAAAGAGTTCTTCTATAATGTTAAAATTCAGTTTCTACAACAGTAGCTATGCTATGCTGTCAGGGAAGTTATGATTCTGCATTCTGCACTCTACTAATGAGACTACAATAACGGATGAGATATGGACAATATTTGTAAAACAGTTTTCAGTCTAATCACTATACCTATTCCATTGACAGTAACCCCCAAAGAACAAAACCAAACCTGTTGCTGTCAAGTCAATTCTGACTGGTATTAATGTTCAGTAGATAAATTTTGAATTCAATATTTTTAAAGGGCTTTGTGAATTAGAAAGTAATTTTCTAGCCTTACCATTTTTATTTACCTATTGTGTTCCATTTATTACCAATAATGGCTGATAAAACAAATCCTGAGATCTAATAACAAAGGTTACATCAATCTGTGAGAGGTATTGACAGGATTTCATACCCTAATTCCTGGCCATCTTCTTAGAGTCTCCCTAAATTAAATTCTCTTCCCCTCTACTGCCCCTCCCAATGCCATATGGACAGCTGGTGCTCAGAGAGAAGAAATAACTGGCATTTTCACCTTAGATCGTTAAAATGAGAGGATTATGCTATATCCTCCCTAATACCCCTTCCAAATCCAAAAATTTTAAAGCCCAGGCATCCATGAGGTAACAGCTACTACAAAAAATATAGAATTGTTCACAAGTAAGAAATCCACGTATTTGTCATGATTATAATGCTTGTAAATGCCACATCTTAAAACTACAATTTTGATCATTATGGACCAATTAACAAGAAAAAAATATATATATAGCTAGCTACTGCAGTTATATCAATAACATGAACAAGGGTCACATAAAATGAGATATAACCTCGTATTATAAAACAGTATGGTAATACCAACCCATTTTTGTTTAAAAAGTACATATTTGCCTAGAAAAACTAGCAGAATATATGCCAAAATGTAGCAGACCTTGTACTTTGTGCTTTTCCTATTTGTTTACAATGAACATGTGCTAATTTTGTGACATATATTTGAATTTTAAGCTCAGACATGTAAATATACTATTTTCCTTGTTTTAACACTGCCATACACATGAAAACAAGGTTACCAAGGAAACATTTTCTCCCATTTATGCTCATCTGTTGCTTAAATAATGTAAAACACACAAATAATCCATTAACATGTTAAATTTTCTGTTTGAGTTTGAAGAGTGGGTCTGAATTCATAGCTGTGAAAATGGTGCCAAACAAAAAAAAAAAATTTTAAATCTCTATAGGAATCATTCTTCCCAGTCAGCACTGACTATGATTTAGATTTGTGGATTGACAGAAATTCTCAAACTAGTTGAATTTGTGACACCCTATAATCGTGTATCATCACACATCACAACATCCCTCCTCAGGTCATCAACATACACCCTATTAATGTTACATGGCATTTAAAAAATTTAGATGAATTAACATTTTTTCTTGTGTGAAGGTCTTTTTGATTTGGGGTACATCCCTTTAGAAACTAGGTAGACCCTGAGATGTTTCCCAGCAAGGATTGAGGATGAGACATGGACCTGCCCTCACTGACCTTACAGCAGAGGGGTACTAGTTGGTCATGCCCTGTCTGCCTCCCTACCATCTCCTGGGGGTTTCTGTCCCTGGGTGCTTTGACACTGAAGAGTCAAGTATATCCCCTCCTTTCTCTTCCCACCGCTCCAACCACACTCCCTCAGTCAGTCTGATCATCCATCCATACATCCCCTAGAGAAGATGAAGGCCAGTTGTCTGTACTGAGAACACTCGCTCCAACAAGTCACTGGGGATGGACTTGTTTATCAGGCGCTGTAGCCGCTGTTTTTCTTGGTTATTCTAAATTTTATTAACTGCTCTTCACAGTGGCATCACTAGGGAGGTTGGGGGGGGGTGCGGACTGCACCAGGTGACACTAGCAGAGGGGGTGACACCAAAATGACTATCTATAAAAATACCCCTGTAGTTATAACAACAAAAACATTTTTCCTAAGTCCCAGCTTACACGTATCAATATACCTACAAGGCTAAAACTCTATGCTAATTTACTTTTTGAGCCTTCTAATGTGCTTAAGTCAGAGCTGTCATTATTACTTAAGAACAATGATGCTTCAAATCACGTGGTTTTGTCTGCACATGCTACAAGCACGTGCTGTTGTTTTTGTAGCTGTTGGTGTTTTTATATTTTCTGATTTTGTCCAATTTTCTGGTGTTTTAGCTACAATATTGTGGTAATTAGTATCTATGAACCTATATCAATACTTTTTTTGAGAATGAAGTAGTAATAAAAGGAAAAAGGAGTGATACATGGGAATTACAATTTATGAGTAACATTAGTACAAAAAATATTACTAAGGATTCTGTATGGTCTGGTACTGGAGGAGGTCCATGGGGGGGGGTGACACCATGAGTTACTGCACTGTGTCACCAACCCTAGTTATGCCACTGCTTTCCCAGAATATCTTAAGATCCTTCTGCCTCTTTTTTTCTGAAACCTGTTGGTTGGCTTGGGGCCCAGACTAAACAACCAAACCCATTGCCCGTAAAGTCAACTCCAACTCATGGCAACCATGTGTTACAGAGTGGAACTGCTCCACAGAGTTTTCCATAGGCTGTAATCCTCATGGAAGCAGATCACCAGGACTTTCTCTAGCTGAGAGGCTAGGTGGGTTCCAACCACCAACCTTTAGGTTAGTAGTTGAGCAAGCCGTTTGTGCCACCCAGGGACATGTGCTTGGGGCCGAGGTGGTGCATTTTTCTGTGAACGCTGAAACCAAACTACAGGTTAGAAGGTACTAGCACCGAAGCAATGCCTCTACCGGGGCTGTGGCTTGGCTGGAGAGCCGGGCGAGAACCTGGGGCCCGGTGCCACCCAGGTGACCGTCCGGGAGCGGGCGGGAAACAGTCGGCAGCACGACACGGGCGCGACTCCCTGCTCATCCGCTCACCCGGAGCGGTGCGCGTGGTAGACGCGCGCACAGACAAGGAGGACCCGGGGAGCGCTGGCCTGCACCAGCAGATTCGACCTCAGTGGGAGAGAGGAATCGCGCCTCTGGGTCCAAGAGAGGCAGCCCTGGAGGCGCGCTCTGGTCTTGGGGTGCAGGACTCAGAAGATGTTGGAAGTTTGAGAGAGTGGGCTCTGGGGGCGCCCTCGAGTCAGGACTCACTCTCAGGGCGCCTTTGGGTCCGGACGCAAAGGTCTGGGGCGCGCTCTAGTCCGAAGTGGGGGTTGGGAAAGAAGGCTCTAGATTCGGGAGGGGAGCCGCTAGGGGTGCGATCTGGGCATGGGGCAGGAGTGGGGAGTCCAGGGGCGCCTTGGTGTCCTCCAGGAGAAGTTCTGGAAGCACCTTGTGGTCTGAGGACCGGCTTGGGGTGGGGAGTGCTAGGTCTACAGCCGGGCTCCATGGTCCTCTCTGCGCTCCCCGAGTCTGGGTTGCAGGGCCGGTGGATCTGGACCCAGAGCCTTGGCCGGGACAGAGGGCGCCCTCCGGCCCCTCTGAAGACTTACCTTCTTGGCCCTTTTGCCTCCAACGGGTGCCATCTTCGTGGTTACTTGGCACGGCCACGGACCGATGTGGCCAGCCTTACCCCTCTGCGAAGCCTGTATCTGCCCGGCGGCCGCAGCCCACCTGGCTCATGTTTATACCCGCTCCTCCGCGCAGGGTGGGTTTTCCCAGGCTAGGCGTGGTCCAGTGCGGACCTCGGGCGGAGAACACGCCCACCAGCCTTTTATTCAGGCCAACTGCTGGTTAGAAACCTGCCCTGCAAAAGGGGTGATCAAGATTGTTTTCCCAAATGTGTGGAAACACTGAGAGAAAAAAAGAAGTATATGAGATTGTCGCTTGCTCAGGTTTCAAACTTACTGGAATTACTAACCCTGAATTAGCGAATATTTTCAAAATGACCTTACCCAAATATGCCTTGCAGTTTCTAATAACACAGCGGTTCCTAATAAGAGCATTGTTGCAATAATTAACAAGGACAGACTTTTAACGTTTACATATGAAAGTGGAAATGCATTTTGGAGAGTTGCTTCAAAATTCAACATGACAACGATGTATAAAAATGTTTAGGCATTAAAAGAGCTGGAAGGAAATAGTTCAAAATGTTGACAGTAGTTATCGGTTGTTGATGAAATTAGGGCTTGTTTTTATTTTATTATCTTTGACTGTATTTTTCAAAAATATTTTTACAATGAAAACAAATTGACTTTAAAATAAAAAAAATTATGTTGAAAAATATACGACATGACATTGTTGTAGAGAACAACTAAAAAGTCTGAAATTGTTCAGAACTTTTTACTCATATAAAAACACATGAGGAATTCTGTACGTGGAGCATGAGCCTTTATTTCAACCTATGCACCTCATAATTGTGTTAAATTTAAAATGGAAAAAAAAAACGGAAGCAGGATGGATACAAATATTCAAATAATCTAATGTTTCATCTGCCCCCCAAATTTGGGATCAGCAAGAATGAGGCATGAGGTAATATTATCCTTCACATCAAGGTGTTGCAGTATCTTAATAGCCAACAATTTAGTTAGCTAACGTGTTAAGAACGAGTATTGGTGAGGTGAACAGGTAACAGACATGTTCTGTGTCCTCACAGAGCAGCTGCAGTGATGGGTTCCAGGCGCCAGGGGACGGTATTAGGGCTCTGACAGTCAAGGCAGGCTCAAATCAGACCTTCCCAATTTCAGTTTTGTTCAAACTCAGCAAAGATTAGAATTTTAAACTAGTAGCTTTAAATTTAAAATGAATTATGAATTTTTGGTGATGAATAAAGAAGACCAAAGAAGAATTGACACCGTTGAATTGTGGTGTTGGCAAAGAATACTGAATATACCATGGACTGCCAAAAGAACCAACAAATCTGTTTTGGAAGAAGTACAGCCAGAATGCTCCTTAGAGGCAAGGATGGCGAGACTTTGTCTCACACACTTTGGACATGTTATCAGGAGGGATCAGTCTCTGGAGAAGGACATCATGCTTCGTAAAGTAGAGGGTCAGCGAAAAAGAGGAAAACCCTCAACGAGATGGATTGAGACACAGTGGCTGCAACAGTGGGCTCAAGCATAACAACGATTGTGAGGATGGTGCAGGACCGGACAGTGTTTCCTTCTGTTGTACACAGAGTCGCTGTGAGTCAGAACGACCCGACGGCACCTAACAACAACAACAACAACAATATAGGCAACATTTTTAAAAATCTTTCCCCAGCTGCTGTTCCTAGTTCCTCATGTCCCCTCTCTGGAGGTAACCACTATTACCTGTTAACCATCCTTCCAGAGGAATTCTGTGTGCATCTAAGTGTATACATGTATAAAAAGAGTTGTATTTAAATGTAGGGAATTTTTGTTATTTAGACGTTTATCCACCTCCACCTTTTTCCAACAATGATTTATAGGCAGCTGTCGAAATATTTTTGTTTTTCCTCAGCCTCTCAGTTTGTTGTCCTACCACCCTCCTCCCTTAGATTAATTCATTCCCCTACTATTTCCATAGTAGATAATAATATCTGTAGTTCACTAAGTATTTCATATGTGCCAGGCACAACACTAAGCCTTTTACATTTGCACACTGTTATTTACTCCTCCTCACAATGCTGTAGGGTAGATGCCCCCTCTTTGTACTAAAGAACCGTGAATTCTGGGAGTTAGAAGGGTTATCAGCTTGAACTCTGAAGTTCTTTTGCCCCATTCCTAAAGGACCAAGTCCACTTGGATACCAATTGGGAAGTGAGTTCTGTAATATGCTGTTCTTGGAAGGCTGCCTATGTTCTCTGATCTCTGCTAGAGCAATGAGATGAGGGAGGTCATAACACTGAAGCCCTTGGCCTTGTACAAAGGTGTTTGAGGTTAAAAAATAAGTTCCAAAGGGAAAGACAAGGGTTAGACCTTGAGATCTACCCCTTTATATTTTTCAAACAACTTTATTAAGATATAATTCACATGCCATACTCTATCCAGAACATATAAAGAATCCTTACAACTCAGTGATAAAAGGACAAATAACCCAATTTAAAATGGGCAAAGGATCTAAATAGGCAGTTATCCAAGGAAGATATACAAATGATCAATAAGCACATAAAAATTTTAAATGAGTCACAAAAAGTATGACTCATTTAAAGTGTAACATTCATTGGTTTTTAGTATATTCACAGATAGGTGTAGCCATCACTTCAGTCAATTTTAGAACATTTTCATCACTCAAAAAGAAACTCAAACCCTTTAGCTATTACCTCCACTCCCCAATTCCCCCTACCCCAGCCCTAAGCAACTATTCATCTGTTTTCTGACTATGTAGAGTTCCCTGTTCTGGACGTTTAAAATTAATGGAATCATATAATGTGTGATCTTTCATGACTGACTACTTTCACTTAGCATGTTTTCAAGGTTCATCCATGTTACAACATGTACCACCACTGCATTCCTTTTTATGACCAAGTAATATTCCATTGTATGGATATACTACATTTTGTTTATCCATTTATCAATTGATGGACATTTGGATTATCTCCACTTTGGGGCTATTATGAATAATGCTGCTATAAACATTCATATACAAGTTTTTGTGTGGACATATATTTTCATTTCTCTTGGACATATACCTAGTCTATGTTTAATCTTTTGAGAAACTGATAGAATGTTTTCCAAAGCAGCTGCACTATTTTATAGTACCACCAGCAGTGTATAAGTGTTCCAATTTCTCCAGATCGTTGCCAACACTTGTTACTATCTGACTTTTTGATTCTAGCCATCCTGGTTGGGTGTGAAGTAGTAGCTCTTTTCTTTTCTTTTTTTTTTTTAACTGCAGGACTTTTTTGCATGTGATAAATTTATAGGTGAAAAAAAATTGCCATTTCAACAGTCTTCATATATATGGTTCGGTGACATTAAATAGTTTCATTATGTCGTGCAACTCATTGTGGTTTTGATTTGCATTTCACAGATGACTAATGACGTTGAGCATCTTTTTATGTGCTTATTGACCAGTTGTATATCTTCTTTGGATAACTGCCTATTTAGATCCTTTGCTCATTTTCAATTGGGTTATTTGTCTTATCATTGAGTTCTAAGGGTTCTTTATATATTCTGGATAGAGTCCCTGGATAGTTGTTCTATAACAAGCAGTCCTTGGGTTACAAACGAGATCAGTTCCTAAGTCTGTCTTTAAGTCAAATTTATAGGTAAGTCAGAACAAGTACATACGGTTCTTATTTAATGTCAGTCAAATGTTTGTCTTGGTATATAGTATATATTTTACCTTTCTATGTATATAAAGCACTTAAGAAACACTTCCACACCATGCTGTGTTTTCATAAGCATCACAAAGTAGTGCATGCATTTGTTATTATGAACCATTGTATTTAACTCAAATTTTTAATATAATAGGCTTTATGGCAGTCCATTCTTAAGTATGAATTGTCGTAAGTTGAACATTCATAACCTGGGGACTGCCTGTATGTAATTTGCAAAAATTTTCTCCCATTCTGTGGGTTGGTCTTTTACTTTCTTTATGGTGTCTTTGAAATACAAATGTTTTTAATTTTGATGAAGTCCGATTTATTTTCTAATTTTTATTATTTTTGTTCAAGCTTTTCATGTCCTATTTCTAAGAATCCTTTGCCAAATCCAAGGTAATAAATATTTGTTCCTATGTTTTCTTCTAAGAGTTTTATGGTTTTAGTGCTTACATTTAGGTCTTTGATCTACTTTGAGGTAATTTTCATCTATGATGTGAGGTTGGGGTCCAACTTCATTCTTCTGCATGTGGAAATCCAGTTATCCAAGCACCATTTGTTGAAGAGACTGTTATGTCTCCATTGGATGGTCTTGGCACCCTTGTTGAAAATCTGTTAACCATAGATGTATGGGTTTATTTCTGGACTCTCAGTTCTGTTCCATTTATCTATATGTCTATCATTGTGCCAGTACTATACTGTATTGAGTATTTTGCCTTGTAATAAATTTTGAAAACAAGAATTCTGAGTTCTCTTACTTTGTTCTTCCTTTTCAAGATTGTTTTGAATATTCTGGGTCCCATACAATTCCATATGAAATTGAATCAACTTGTTGGTTTCATTCAGCTGGGATTCTGATGGCGATTGCATTGAATATGTAGATCAGTTTGGAGAATATTGCCATCTTAATGCTAAATCTTCTCAGCCATAAACATGGACTGTTTTTCTAATTATTCAGATCTCCTTCAATTTTTTAACATTTTGTAGTTTTCAGAGTATAAATTTTGCACTTTCTTTGTTAAATTTATTGCTAAGTATTTTATTTTTTGATGCTATTATAAATGGAATTGTTTTCTTAATTTCATTTCCAGATTGTTCACTGCAAGTGTACAGAAATACAACTGATCTTTTTGTATTTATCTTGTAACCTGCAGCCTTGCTGAACTTATTTATTATTCTGGTAGTTTTTTAGTGGATTCCTTAGACTTTTCTATATACAAGATTGTTTAATCTGTGACTAGAAATAGTTTTAATTCTTTCTTTCCAGTATGGATGCTTTTTATTTCTTTTTTTTGCCTA